ATGCGTACGAGCTCAAAACACTCGAAGGGAAGGTAGTGCCCCGGGTGTGGAACATAGACAATCTATGTAAATTCTATCTTTGAAAGAAGTGTTCCGAGCTATGTTCGCAAGTTTGTCAAATTCCGCTAAGGCATCTAGACCGACCTACAGCTCGGCCAAAAGGCGGAAGAGACGAACTACTACAAAAAATTTTGCTAAGGCATTCGACCAACATGGCGACAATCTGACCGAGTTGGCATGACAGAGACAAGAAAGAAACCCATCCAAGAAGAAAGCATCAAATGCAGAAAGCTAACTCCATTATTTGAAGAAAGGCCAATGGCCGTACATGTACATGTAAAAAAAAATCTCTTAGTAGTTCGGATATAAAAAGGGCACATAGGCCCAAGAGAAACTTATAGGAGCACACAGGCTCCCAGAATCGTCAGGAAGTTGTCACCAGCAGATAGATTAGGCTACTCATTATTTCCGCCCTGGACCTCTTCATCACCGTCGCCTTGAATATCGTTGTCATCCTCCTCATCTTCTTCTAGCGTCACAGGTTCCTCATCAACTTGTGTGGTGAGCTTGAGCGACACGTCGTTCACAGAAAGGGAGCCAAAGTCGAAGGTGGGATGCAACATTTTCAGGTACCGGTGGCAGAGTTTGTAACCCTTCTTCATCATAGGAATACCATCCTCTGCCTTTTTCTTTTCGTACTCTAGGGACTTCAAGAAATGAGCAATAGCCGCCTCCTCAARCGGTAGATATCTTAAGTGTACTTCGACCGCCTCTCCTCTAGTTGACGCACCTGGGCAGCAATGGTGTCCTGGGCCTCAGCCAACCTGCGCTGAGCCTCGGTTAGTTCGTGTTGCATCCCCTGATTCTGCTCATAAAATTGGCGGTGATCCTCCTCCAAGTTGAGCTGGACCCTCTGCATCTCRGCTTGCAGCGAGTTGATATTTGTGCGCATCTCACCTCTCTCCTTTTCACTTGCATGAACATGGTCTAGCAAGACTTATCCAATGGTGCTCGCCTTCCAAAAGAAAGTATGATCAAAACAGATTTTCCAGAAATAGAAGGATAGAAATCCTATAAATAGACAAAGCTAAACAAAATGGTGAGCCATACGAGCTCCGACTTCAATAGGGTCCAGATTGCGGAAATAGAAAATGTCTTCCGGGAACAACATGCCCCTGGGCCAACCGAATAGCCACCCGAGGATCAGWTGCACGGTCAAGCATGGAAATGTCGATGACATTGGGGACGGAGCGGGGGATGTCTAAAACATAAGGGCCTGCCTCGCGTTCCTCCTAGCCGACCTGAGGTCGGAAGGCAGAGCGGCCAGACTAGTACTGGTCGGTATTCATGGGCTTGCCGCCTTCCTCGAGGTCAACGATAGGAGAAGCGGGGTGCGACGACCTAACCTCAGCACTTGCTGAGGTCCCCTCCATTGAGGAGCGCGATCTGCCCTTCACTTCTTCCTTGAATCTTTCTTCTCCCTGTTAAGCGCCAACATGGAAGCCATACTCGCCATATCCGAAGAAAAGGAAAAAACAGTTAGACGAGCTAACCGTTAACAAAACAAAAATTGCAGATGTGAATGACTCAATGACTGACCTACCTACGCGGCTCAGGCCAGCCTGTATAAGCATGGGCTCGGCCAGAACGCTCTCTACTTCGACTTTCTGGCAGACAAACTCCTGAAGCGCAACTTGCAGCTCCTCGTCTGAATTCTCACCAAAGCTCCTACAATTGCTTTTCCAGATAGTGTTCATCCCCCAACCACTATCCTTAGAAAGATAGAAAAACTTACCCTTCCACCCTTTAACCTTATTAGGAAAATCAATCAAAACCTTCTGACCACCTCGGAAGGGAAGGTAGAAACAGTAAGGATCCTTAGTCCTCTTCATGACACACAAGCTGGAAAAAACATCCATATCCAAAGGGAAGTTGTGGTGATGGCACAAACTGATCAGCCTCACCAAGGTACAAATTGCATTGGGACTGAGTTGACCCAGAAACACACCGTAGTATCTCAATACAGAAATATTGAAAGGATGGAGGGGAATCGAAGACCAGCGACCAGTGCCTCCTCATAGACTTACACCGCATCTTGGCCATGGTCCCATGGGTAGTAATTGGCACGTGGCTCGATCCAATCATACTCATTGGGAATCTGGTATGTATGGCACAACTCGACCATACAATCACCAGATAACTCGGTCAAGCCAAAGACAGCTACAACTCGCTTGACTTCACTTTTCTTCCATACCAAGCAACCTTCATAGTACTCCCCAAACAAGTCCTCCCCTGAGGAGCTTGCCTCATTGTCTGACCTCTAGTCGGGAGACCTACTGTCAGACTGACTAGGAGACATTGAAAGGATTGAATATACTAATCGGAAAAGGTGAAGAAGGTCGACGACGACAACTAGCAAAACCTCAACAAAGGGCAGACAAAGAGCAAGGCTCAGCTACGACCTTCACCAATCAGACACCACACCAAAAAGCTCCAAAAACAATGCAGGTAGGGACCTCAATGGGGACCCCTTATTTATAACCCATCTAAAAAAGAATGAACGGTGGAGATGCACCTACAACGAATCTATGACCAACAACACATGTGAAAAAAATTTTAAATTTGAGACTTGTGTGCCTTAAGAGCCTGCCCCTTTTCGAATTTGAAATTAGCACGCCCTTCCCGCATGCCTCTTTTCAAAATTTGAAATCAGTGCGCCCTTCACACACACATCTTTTCAAAATTTCGCAGAATGCACCTTCCCTGGAGTTTGAAATCTGTTGCGGACCAGCCCTACCTCAGCCTGGGTTAAGAAAGAGCAAACCAAGGTCCGAAAGCCTTGGTTAGCTCGGGTACCCCAGGCACCTCGGCCAAGATCGAGGTCCGAGTAGCTCGCGAAGGCCCAACCTGTCGATGTGACACATAGCCAACTTGTAGAAGCTAGCCAACTTTCTCCAACCTCTTCGGCATCGTTCCGCACGTCTGAAAGCCTTATCCTCACCCTACCCGGATCAGACAGATTCGATAAGCCTTATCAACCCACACGAATTTCACCTCCTGGAGCGGAACAAATTCCTAGTAGCACGGACCGAGGATCTCGGAGGCATTTCGTAAGGCATACAACAGTTCACCTATATAAGGGCACCAACCCCAATAGTGTAAGGTACACGCGATTTATTGCTCACYAGCCTACTTGCAATTAAGCTTTCAGCTTGCATACCAGATTACTAACTTAAGCTCGGTGTGCCCACACCGGGTAAGCTACCCCGGGTTCTTTGAGCATTGTTTTCCTTGCAGTTCGACCAGCTAACAAAGCAACTGATGTCTGAGCTGCCCTCCAGCTAATAGCATCCAGATCGCACACCATCAGATGCAAACACGATTTCCAATAAAACATATGTCTTTTTTTATCAAAAGCCCACTTGAATGAAAATTTACTTCTTTTTTATTGATGTATTTTTGCATCTTATTATCAATGTAAATATGCATTGGAAAATGTGTTTTCTATCATTTGTCAATGCATAAATGTAATGTTGTCAAACACAAGGAAAAGTGAACCAGAGTGCAAATTCGCCCCGAATCGGGATTTACACTCCATTTGCGTTGTTTCCAAACGCAACCTTAGGTTCAGTGTCGGAAGAGTGTAAATATTTGCACTCTACATATTTGTATTTATACTTCTCTTTCAAACTGAATCTTAAGAAGCATCATAATTTTTTTTTTCAGTTTCCAATAATTTAGTTATAGAAATAAATATGCTTTCAATAATTCAGGTTGGTTTCTAATTCATTATAGTTTATCGGGTATCATACAATATTGTCAAATAAAAAGAAAAGAAAAAGAAAAACCGACTTTGCAAAGTAGGCCTCCTATAGAAAGCTTAGAAGTGAAAACCCTAAAAAGCCCTTTCATAGAGTTAAAAATCGATTTTTCACTAAGGGGATGTTTGGAACTGTGGCTATTTTTTTGAAAAATGATGCCACATTGGATCCACATAGGCGTTTCTACAAACACCCATATATATGATTGTTTGGTTCACACGTTTAAACACTTGAACCATTGGCATGCCTTGTAAATCAGGACCCCACTGATGCATGAAACGTCAAATTTGGKGTTTCATGCATCGGTGAACCGTTTTCCCCAACGGTTGATTGATTGGCAATTATGTGTATCATATGTGGTGCTTACCTGTTGGGACATACATGAAAAACGGTGATGAAAATCACCTTACCAAACAGCATAGTGTTGTTCACTTGCTACATGGCAGAAACACTCCAAACAAAATCAAAGCGTTTTTTGTGAAAAACAGGTCTTGGTAGCATGGGCGTTTTTTCTTGAAAATCGGTTCCAAAAAATGCCCATGCTTCCAAACACCATATAAGTATGTATTTCATTCCCTGGCGGTTTATTTGTACTTTTCCACTTTAAACGTTTATTTATACTTTTTCACTTTAAACGTTTCATGTTTTGGTTGTTTGGTTGGGTTTCACTTTAAACGTTTTTTATTCTCCACTTCATATTAATTCCCATTAAAGTGTGCCACATCAGCATTTGGTTTCAAGAAACGATGGGGTGTTGGGGGAAACAAGATTTGACGTTTCCCCAATGCTCCATGCACAAAAATCAAAACGTTTCAGTTTTCTACAATTTATTTGATAAACATTGAAACCAAACAATTGTTTTATTTTTCTTCATATACAATAAACGCCAACGTTTATGTGGCATTGATGTGGCAGCGTTTTTTTTAATAAACACTCACAAAATCAAACACAACATATATATATATATATATAAAGCAGCTCAATAAAAAATTCAAAACTGAAATCCTCTCCAACGGGCTCTGATTTATTCAGCTTTTTGACATAAAGCACTTGGTTGTTTTAAAATTCAAACAATTATTTTGTTTCTGCATTCTAGCATATGCCTAATTTTTAGTCTGTTTTAAAAGCCCTGAGGCTGATTCTAGTCAACAAGATAATCTTGACTTACACCAATTCTCATCGAGAGAAGAGAAGAAAAGAGAAATGCCTTAGAAAAATCATGTTACATTAAAATAAAAAGAAAGCAGATCGGAATTTGGAGTGTACACTGGATCTCTCACTCAGTGAAAGGTGGGTACGTGGTGTATCTTTCTGTTGCCATCGTCCACTGTCACTGCTTGATGAGTCGGCTCAAGGGGAAACATGGCCAGACACACCCTTGCGCCTTGGCTTTATTTTGTTAACATGGACTGAATGTGTCCCACCACTGTCCCCAATCCCATACTTCTCTTCTTTCCTCTCCTCGTATATACTGATATACAGTACAGTCTAAATACTAAATATAATAAATAATGAATAAGACATGGATACTATAAATTCAGGAGGCATCTCAACGACTTGCCATCCACAAGCAGCTGAATGGCTTCGTTGATCTGGTCGAAGGGAAGTTCGTGAGTTATAAATCCATCCAAATTCACCACCTGATGAAAAAAAAACAAAAATAGAAGAAGAAAAGTCAGAAGATACTTAATTGATTTGTTAAAGAGGGAGGAGGGAGGAGATCGATAGGGTTACTAACTCCACGCATGCTGTCCCTGGCAAATTGAGGCAATTGGGTCTTCCCTTTGAAGTCTCCGAAGACCGACGCAACAATTTTCCTGCCCTCAAAGAAATCCATTGGATGGAGGGGCAGCATTCTTGGCGTTGCATGAATTCCCAATATCACCGTCAAACCCCAGCCCTGTACGTAACCCCACTTAATTTCCATGCATCCATCATCTGATCATCTACATTAATTATATTACAAACAACCTAACGGTACTGCTTTGAATGAGTATTTCTAGTTATACATACATCATGGGTGGACAAGAAAGCCTCACGGAGAACATCCACGTTCCCTGCGCACTCAAAGCTGTAGTCAACTCCTTTTCCCGTCATTTCCATTATTTTCTATGTATGACAAAATTGATGGTCGGCATTTTCGTTAAGTTGTTGAATATAGCCGCTAGGCTTACATATATATTTAACCACACCCTTAATTACTTACCTCATGAACAGATTTATCGAGGTCCTTTGGATTAATAAAGTCTGTTACTCCCTTAGCTTGACCTATATATCAATGTCATATTGATCAATACAAGAGAGTTGATTTGCAAGAACAAAAGAGAAGCCATAAGCCCAGGGTTATATAAGAGTACTTGATATTAGATAGGGGTGATCATTTCAGCCCAGCCCAGTCCAGCCTAGCCTGTATAAGCCTGGCCTGGAAATTTTGGGTTTGGGCTTAGGTTTTGTGTTTAGACCCGATTTGGGCCTGGGCCTACATCAGATTTGTAAATTTTAGGGTCAGGCTTGGGTTTAATACTTTAAGCCTGGCCCGGGATCAGTTCGGTTCGCATATATTTAAACTTATACATTTTGTGTATAATGTATATATATATATATATATGTATACATGCTATTTTACATTATATTATATATTTTATATATAAATATTATAACATAGTATGTATAATTTATATTATATGTAATATTTTATATTATATATTGTATAAAATAAGTTTATATGCATATTATGCCATTTAATATAAAATATTATAGATATATAATATTTATCTATAATAATTTATATATGAGTGACATTGGCCCAAGTTCAGGCCTGGCCCGGCCTGGGCCCATATAGACCTGGACTAGGACTTATGTTTTAGGCCCGGGCCTAAACTATAACCCTTATCATAAGTGTAAAGCCCGGCCCATGATCACTCCTAATATTAGACACTAGAGCTACTTCCAAAATAACAAATAGTAATAATACCTTTGACGAATTTGTCAGGGTTGATATCCACTCCAATTATGCGTGAAGCTCGTCTACTCCTTGCTCCTTCAGCAACCTGTGCCAGGCCAGGGACGACAGATTTTGTTGTTGTAAAAAAGGCTTGGCCTGCGCTTACATTTTGGAACCTAATGCTCAGTTTGAAAAGAGTATAAATACAAATATATAAAGTGCAAAACTTTATTTTGTATTATTTTATATGTATTTGTACCGTACATATTTGTATTTATATTCGTATCAAATTAAGCCTAAAGAAATAACATATAATAGTACCAGTGTCGGATTTTGGACTTACGGCCAAACCTACAGCGCCCAAACCAAATATGGCTACAGTCGACCCAGCTTGCACGTTTGCGGTGTTCCATGCAGCCCCAAGTCCTTCAGTCAGAAAAACCAGTAATTTCTTCTTAATTTCTTAAATCAAGAATAGATAGTGCGTCTAATACTTTGTATTTTTTTGTTTTGCTACAAGAGAAAAGAACAAAAAAAAGACRTTACACAGGGAGACTCAAAACTCAGACTCAGACTCAAGACTCAGGGTGTCAACTAATTGATTGGGAAAGTCTCCGCCTCACAATGAGCCGCCCTATAGCATATCTTCGCAACCGTGTATTGGGAACATTTTCTGAAGAAAGTACGAGTCTCAATGATATCATCATCGGGAGGTGTTTCCAATACATGGCAGGGATGTGGTATGAGGTGTTGTGGGGTGGTTCCTTATAAGGCGGAGATGTGAACTCCTCTGACCCTACAATAGGGTTTGAGAGGTTTATGGATTTGGGGATAGGCTACTCGCCCCGCTACCCATTTGTACAGTCCCAAATCGAATTTACCTTGAAATAAACCTCAAAATACTTTTAAGATGTAAAGATTTAAATCTAAATCTACGATCTACGATCATTATCGGATGCAGTCAACCAGTCATTAGAGAATTAAACCGCATACCAACCTAATCCAGTGAAAAGAAAAGAAATTCCCGGTTTACCTGTAGAGACACCACAGCTGAGCAAGGTCATCTGCTTGAGAGGAGCCTCTGGGTCGATCTTCACAACACAGGCCCAGTCAAGGACGGTGTACTCACTGAAAGTAGATGTGTTGAGAAAATGGTAGATGGGTTGCCCATCTCTGGTCGAGAACCTCGTCTTTCTGTCGTTCTCCATGACCGTTTTAAAAGGAGCTACACGGAACCCCTCGCAGAGGTTTGTCTTTTCAGACTTACAGTACACGCAGTGGCCGCACTCTCCATTGAAGATAGGCACGACGTGATCACCTTCCTTGATGTCGACGACACCTTCTCCCACGCTCTCGACAATTCTGCAATAGAGTTGGTGAATGGAGAAAAGAGACGGACAGTATTGACATAAATCTATCTTACCCGATAGCTTCATGGCCTAGTATTCGAGGAAAAACTTGTTGGCTCTCGTTCTTCATTAATACAAGGTAGAAGAGTTTAGAGAGAGAGAGAGAGTATTATTGCTAACTTGGAGAGGTTGAAAATCAAAATGAAGGCTTGAACTTTTGTTTTTTAAGTCAGAATCTCTCTTTACCTCGCCTTTCCAATAGTTGAGGTCGGTGTGGCAGATTGATGTGTAGAGTATCTTGACTCGAATCTCCATTTTCTGAGGAGGATCGACTTGTATTTGTTCGATGATGAATGGCTGTCCTGGACCCCATACGACGGCAGCTTCACCGAACAGAGATCAAACTTCCATTAATCAGACAGATGATGGTACAAAGAAAGAAAAAATTTAGATGGATTTGAATATCTTACCCTTACAAGAGATGACCTTTCCTGCAGTCTCGTCATATGTACCGGAGCTACACATCTCTGATATATCTTCCGATCTTTGTATTTCACTGTTTGAGTGCTGCTACCGTTGCTGGTTCTTCCTGACCTTGTATACAAAGCGGTGGCCTAATTTGAATCCCTTCTTTCTCCTTGGCATGGATTTTAATCAGCATGCGCAGGTGCTTAATTGTTCATTCTCTCTCTGTCGGGGAATAGACAAAGACAATCATTCTTTCTCCTTGGCGTATTTATAATATCATAGTTCCTTCCAACTGCATCGCACCCCTCCTCATTGGTCGATCCGTTTTGTCTCGATCTGGGTCTTGCAATTCTGATTCTCATTGATCCATGAAGTTTTAATTTGGGTAGATGGCGTTACATCTGATCTGAACCGTTGTGACACATGACAAGGGTTGATCCCACTTTTTCGCTTCATAAGATTGACCTCACTTGAACTACATTATCTGTGAGTGGCAGCAAATAATGTTCTAATTAAAAACAATCTTTTGCATGATGCCAACTGGTTGGTTGGTAAGGTCTTGTAGCGGAGGACTTGGAATTTGGGACCCGGGGTGTTAATTTTGAACGTCATTCATTCCAGCTTCTTTTTCTGGAATAAATGCATCCACTTTCCTAACTCCTACTTATTACATAATTAAAATGGTCCTCCGGCTCCCACCCTCTAGTCCTTTTCCCTCGGCCATAAACCTTTGAACTCGATCTCTAATAATATCCTAGTCAATGTTGATGCATAGATCGTTTGAAATTACCCAAAAAAAAAAAAAGAAAAAAATAAAACATCTCAATTTGAAAATCGGGCATAAAGTTGTAACCTTCAGAATTTTTTAATTCATTGTAATTTATAATCTATTACTCGATGATTGAATCAAACAGGTCGATGAATGGTTCAACCACCTAGCCACCTAGGCCAATTGGAATGGCTTTTGGCATAAAAGAGTAAGTTTTAGATAGCGAGGCCGTGTATTTAATTACCAAGGAGTCATAACTCAATGATTCGAATTCATTAGGTGGTGTTTCTTGCGGTGAGTGAATGTTGGAYTGCCGACTGCCGTACTCGTGCCGAGTTCACGTCTGCGCCCCACAAAGGGGGCGCCCCACAATATCCCACGGTGCATCCTCATCGTGTATTGGGAACATCTCCCGATGATAGTACTAGACCCGATGATGTCATCATCGGGAGATGTTCCTAATATAAGGTGGGGATGCACTGTGGGACGTTGTGGGGCGCAGATCTGAACTCATTCGTATCGGTATTGGCCTGGGGTGTATTGCATGTGAGTGGATAAAAAAKAAAAGGGACTTCGAGTCTCCTGCCTATAAAAACTCTACCCACATCTACTCACAGCATACTATCTTCGTGTAATAGGAACATCTCCTCGTGAATAATACTATGTAAGAGGATGAGATGTTCCTTGATGTAGCGTGATCTGATAGTTCCTTATTAAAAGACAACTCTGATGTCAAGCTAGTAATGTTGCCTGGTTGAGTTGCAAAGCAAAGTTGTTAGAGTGTCCGGGGTGGTTACCCGATGTGGGCACTTCGATACTTAAATTAGCGATTTGGAGATTTGAGAGAGCTGAGAGCTTAATTATAAAGGAACTTGAGCGCTAAATCGCACGTACCTTGTAAGACTAGAGGCAAGGCCTTTATATAGGCGAGCTACCATAGGTCTCATGATGCGTGTATGAGATCATTGGCCCATTTGATCCAGAGTTGGCTTCGTACCCGAAGATGGACTTCAGGTAAGCTGATAAGGCCTATCCAAGTCCGTTCGAATAAGACGGGGAAAGTATAAGATCTGTTGATGTATGCCATGATCCCTAGGAGATCAAGTACAATTGTCTTGCTTCTAGAAGGAGGCTATGTGGCACCTTTGTAGATCGGTGCTTATACCTGAACTACCCAAGTCTCAGTCAAGCTAGGTGACCCAAGGTGCCCGAGGTGACTGGGATCACTAAGGTGTTCGAGGTCGTTGAGGTGTCACCACATCATTCCGTCTCTCCATATGTCATCATATCATTGGATGGGCCAAATTGCCCCCACTCCCGACCCTGACATAGTCAACTCAGGGCGGGAGTATCATCAAGCTAAAAGGATTTGGCCCAATCTTCAGTTCAACCGTGGTTCAACCAATAGTTCAAACTTTATAGGCTTAACTGGCTCGACCTTGGGGCGAGGTCACATCTCGGGCACACATGGACGTCACTCGAAGATAAGTTCCGAGGACATCAAAAAAATGCTCAACTATTTTTTCCTCGGAATATGAACAATTGCGCACCCGAGAACCATTGGGTCTGCTCGATCTGGATCGTTCATGCTCGGCTTAGGCGATTATAAATAGGGCCCTTGGGGACCCATTTCCTCCACCCCCTTCTTAGCTCTTGTGCGTATTGAGGTCGCAGAGCGCAGTGTCGTTGGTGTCTTCAATTAGGTCGGTGAGGTTGGTCATTTTTGTTCCTTAGGTGAGTCATCTTCCTTTGCTTTCTTTCCTTGTTCTTTTCCGTTGTGTTGAGTGGTGAGTCCATTGAGGAGAGAGTGCAACCCGGCCAGGCCGAGGAAGGATCCTCGGTCCAAGACCAATGAGGTTCCCATATAGGGGCTTTGTCTTCCTGACAACCACCTAGGGCTAGAGTGTCGGACCACTTTGGTCCTTTTGATCTCACTATCGATAGATCTCTGGTCTTGCGGCTCAGTACAAGATTCTTGACCACTTTGGTTACTCCCTTCCAATTGGGGCTTTCCCTTGGGAGCATGAAGAAGACGAGGTCGCCGTTTTTGAGGAGGCTTTGAAGGCGGGTCTCTTGTTTCTACTCCATCCTTTCATTCTCGAGGTCTTGAACTACTACAATGTTTGTTTTGACCAATTGCACCCGAACTCCATCCATACCTTGGTCGGTATAATCTCCCTCTGCTTCCATATTGGCCTTCCCCTTGACATTAAGACCTTTTCCAACCTCTACCAAATAAAGCAAAACCTTGCTAGCACCCCTGGCAAGGTTAGTTACTATCTGTCTTACTTGCCCAGATACAAGCTTCTGCATGGCTTTCCTTCTAAAGTCCCAGCCTCGAAGAGTAAGTACTTCTTCCTTGAGCTGCCTGGTGGGTGGCCTTTCTCGATGCACTAGAGAGAGTGGGTGAAAGACATCAGGGAAGATCTGAATGAGCAGGTGTAGGCTAGAGTGTGGAACCTTGTGGACTGCTAGCTAATGCTGAGCGACTTCTTGGCCGAAGAGAAGCTAATCCAAGCTATCTGTGTCCTCTGGGTAGGTTGTCATCTCTGGTTTGGGTGTTTCCTTTCTTTATTTTGTTTTAGCTTGACTAACTTTTGGGCTTCTTGTGTTGGATACATGTCGAGTATTCCAACAACCGGATTTCTTTAGAGCATGAGGAAGAGGAAGAAGAGAAAGGTGGCCCAAAAGGAACCACCTCGGGCGTTGCCTCTTGAGCCCATAGCACCGAGTGCTACTGAGGCGGTCCCGGTAGTCGACCTGGTCGGAGAAGATCGGGTAGAGAGGACCTCATTGGAGACTGAGGTGGCCCATACATTTGAGGTACGTCCTCTACCACTCAGGGCACCGGCGACTGGTAGTTCGGGCATTGAGGATGTTCTTGAGGGGAGGCAGACCATCATGGACTTTAGGACCACCCTAATCAAGAGCAAGGAGGCCAACTTCACCGAGGAGGTCTTTGATCTTTTTAAGGCGCATAGTGGAGAGTTCGGCGGAAAGCTTATTTACTTCCTCATGATGGTAAGTTCCCAATCCCTTCATTGTGATATTCCCAATCTACGTTCTATACTAAGGTCCTGCTTTTCTTTATAGGTGATCACCCTGACCCACTCCATTGTCAAGCAAACTGAGCGACATCTGGCGAGGGTTGAAACTGCTGAGGCAGTGGCAAGCGAGTACTAGTCTTGAGTTGAACGAGCCATGTCCTTCATCGGCGAGCTAAAAGATGAGTTGGTCACTGAGCCGAACCGAAATGACAAGCTGGAGCTTCATGTCGAGAGGCTCAAGCAGGAGTTGCAATAGAAGTATGCTCACCTCGCTGAATGTGAGGTACAACTCCTCAATGAGGTCCAGGCTTCCAAGGTCTGAGCTATCAAGGAATTCAAAGTTTCGCCAACCTTCCTACAGGAGAGGGAGGAGTTCAACACTGACGCTTTGGAGCCCGACTTCAAGGACAAAGAAGACAGGATCAACGAGGAAGCTACAGTCAGAGCCCATGTAGATGTTGTCGAAGTGGATGTTGCCAATGTAGTTGGTGGTGGGAATGAGGAACCCCGAGATGTAGTTTGTGGTGGCAGTCATTTGTGCCTTCTCACATTGATTAACTTTCGTGCAATTGCATCGAAGGATTTGATTTCACGGCTACATCACCACCAATCTTTCCATTGGAAATGAGTCAATGACATCCTCATCGTTAACTGAAAATTCTTTTCTTTTTTTTTTTTTATATATTCTTAAGGGCTACACAACAGGGGTAGCCCATCCGACCCCCAACCCATAATCCCCCAAACCCAGATGCAGGTAGGATTTGATCCCAAAGTCTCCACTACTACGAACAA